TACTTGACGCCATGTTTTACATATACTAAGTGACATATAAATCCGAACACCCAGTTTAAATGGTTTTATTTTAATAAAATTTTGTATAAGTACTTAATGAAGCATAATAAGTAAATGATAAAAATTTCAAAATGATTGCACTGCTTTAAATCGCTTTGACCTTTAATAATGTGTGGATGCATCCTGATGTGCTACGCATTCTCCAACGCGCCTAGGCATGCTTCTGATCAGGTGGTCAATGTCCTCCTGTGGTATCTCATTCCAGGCAACCACCAACTCCTCTCGAAGTGCTTCTAGAGTCTGAGGAGGACGTTGCAAATTGAGCAATCTCCTACCCATCATATCCCACACGTGCTCAATTGGGGATAAGTCGGGAGATCTTGGTGGCCATGGTAACAATGTGACATCATTATGTTGAAAGAAGTCTATTGTGACTCTTGCAACATGTGGTCGGGCATTATCTTGTTGGAAAGTTGGATCTGCCAGGGAGTCAAGATAGGGTAAAAGATGGAGTTCTAGAACTTCGTGGATATAACGCTGCGCGTTCATGTTACCTCTGATGAAGATTAAAGGTGACCTGGAACCATAAGCTATAGCACCCCAAACCATAACTCCAACAGTGTGATGAACATGTCTTTCAACAAAAAACTGTGGACTCCTCCTTTCACCACGTCGCCTTCTAACCCTGGCACGACCATCGTGCATGCCTAAATAAAATCGAGACTCGTCACTAAAGACAATACTGTTCCATTCCTGATCCCAGAGTGACCGTTGTCTGCACCACTCAAGGCGATTACGTCGGTGTTCTCGAGTTAAAGGGGGGACCCAGCGTGGCCGGTATGAAAACAAGCCAAAACTTCTCATTCGTCGGTAAACACTTCGCATGCCAATAGGTCTTCCGTGTTCTGCAAACCATTCATTTGCAATGGACCAGGTAGTGAAGAAACGGTCCCTTAAGGCCAATAATCTTAGGCGGCGATCTTCACGGTCTGTTGTTCTACGGCGGCGTCCAGTGCCCCTTGCTCTTTGCGTACGGCCTTCTCGAAGCCATGCCTGACAACACCTAACCACAGTATCTACACTACTTTGCACTCTAACTGCAATTGCCCGAAAAGAAAGTCCACCTTCCCGAAGTACCACTATACGGCCCCTATCAAACTCACTAAGTTGACTAAATCGTACAGGTCTCCGTACTCTAGGCATCGTAACCGATCGTAAAGGATGTCAAGAACCAAAATCCGCCAACGTTGATTCTTTACTGCGGCTGAAATATTCATTTTTAGAGCGTTAGTGAATTAAAAAAAAGCAGTATAAAAACCGGAGTGTCCAACTGATAAGGCTGAACATTTTTTCGCTTAGATAAGATAAATACATTCACCAACTTTTATTAAAATAAAACCATTTAAACTGGGTGTTCGGATTTATATGTCACTTAGTATAGTATAGTAAATCGTTCACTTGCACTTTCGCCATATTTTAGAGTTAAATGTTAGTTTGGTTTAGCAGGCACATTCACCTGATTTACAATTTATATACGTAGACAGTATTTTTGAGTAATACTGAATCTGCAACAACTTTCTATTGTCATTTAGCTCATAATAATCATGCAGTAACGTGGAAACTAAAGAAACAAATTAGGCGGAGGACGATTTGTCACGACTGCCTCGTGTTGTCGCTGTACGTGTATGTGTGCAGTCTGGAAAAACCAAGTTTTCCAATTTTGTCCTAAAAGATAAGGTTAAAAATCGCATTAAAATAAGGTATTCTCAAAACACTTTTCAGGATCTTGTAAATAAGGTTTAAACTTTAATTTAGATATTTAAAAGAAATGTAATAAAAGTCGTACAAAAATTAAATTATAAACCTGAGTTTCAATATTAGATATTAGGACACGCAAAAATAATGTATTGTAGCAAATGTTGTACCAAGCAACTGACGAAAACAAAATACCAGGAACTTTTTGCTTTTTCATACTGAACGTGTAAATAAGGTTATTCTTTATCGTTGGTGATCTGAATGAAGAACGGTCGATTTTTGTGAAGGTAAATAAGAAAGTAGTTCGCGAGTTTTTAGTTGTTTATTAATAAAAATGACACATATGTACACTAATGAGGAGTTAGTGGGCATTCTTTTAGCGTACGGAGAAGCAGGGCGAAATTCGCGAGCGGCTTCTCGTTTGGAAGTTCGTGATTTTTTGAATCATCAGACCAATTGCATGGCCTCCACGGTCTCCCGATCTAAGTACCTCTGGACTTTTTTTTATGGGGATACTTAAAAAACGAGGTATACCGTACTTCAGTTCAGAATATTGAAGAATTTCGTGATCGATTCACACTTTTAGTGTGCCAAAATTGGACTGCAGTCAATGGAAACAATTTTGAACAGCTTTTATGAGTAAGTGAACTATTAAACTATATTATTTTATCATCTCTATTTCTGTAGGACTTTTAACTTTGAGAAATCAACTTCTTTCGTACCAGTGCATATGCGGTTAAAATTCGTCGGATAAGTTGTGAAGTACACTGAATATCTTGTTGGTGTGTTATTACTTCTTTGATTTCTTAATTTTTTCCATTATTGTATCACGTCACACCCACAACCCATCACTCGTTACGCTTAACTAAAACTTCCTTATTTTATGACACTGCATTGTGTCCCTTTATACACAGATGTATACACAATCGAGTACAAAGCCGAAAATTTGGCTCGCTCCACAAGCATGATCCTAAATGCACTGCCGACCGGCATTTATCGCCCAGATGAAGCCCAATAGGGCCATTGTCTCCCTTTAAGGACAAAGGGCAAACGGACTGAGAAACAGTTGCATTGCTGAATTACAAGAGTAACTAGTTGTGTATGGACATGAAGGGAAGTGGCCGCAGTTTATGCTGTAATTGGTTTGGGAGACTGAATGATTAATATAATTTCATGGAATAACGTATGTTTAATTGTGAATTAAACACTGAAAACGTGGTGCGTACATCTGACAATCACTACCTTCCAATGGTTTGCTAAGTTGATTTTCATTATCGTCCCCCGCGTTGCCAGATGGATCAAACAAAATTCCCATAATAATTCCTCAGACTTGCAGCATTTAAAAAAAAAAACAAAATCGAACTCGCTCGCTTAGGTTTGGCAGGTTTGTTATCAAGAGCAAAACCTGCAAGTTATCTCCTGGCTGAACAATGTTTGCCTTGCAAGAGATACGGGCCTTGAGAGTTGTCAGTTTGTCATTCATTTTGGTCTTAGCATTTTAGATTACCTACCACCACAGTGAAGTCCTCGACGTATACTTTATCTGAAGTCACTTGAAACACTGTGAAATACCGGGTGCGTTTTATATATCTATATTTAACACGCTCTGTTGCTGCAAAAATCGCCAAATTTCGCAGCAAATATCCCCCGTATAAGATCAAAGGCGATCATAGCCAATGAGAAAGCGTGTATTTCAGAGCTCCGAACAAGTGCAGGTGGCTACTGAGGAGATGGTTGATGAACCTGTGCAGGCAGAATTCTTTCATAAAGATTTAGAGGAACAGACCCAAAGAGTAATCCTAAATATGTATGATTGTCTGAAAAACGAAAATCCAGATTCCTCGCAAAATCAAATTTTAAACAGAATTTGTATCCTGACAAAAATCAGTCGGTCTACCATTTATCGGGTTATAAAAAGGGGAGATGTAGTCAACCATTCTTTCCACAGAAAGCGCATAGGGCAAAAATTAAAAAGAATAGACGTGGGTTTTCAGGAAGATATTCGTCGTATAATATACGGATTTTATATAGAAAATTTGGTGCCCACGTTGGAAATGATACGGGATAAATTAAAAGATTATCCTGAAGATTTTTATAATTACAAATGCTTAGACTCACTGCACTGTATTGTAAAACTGTGTGGTTTTCAATACAAAAAATTAGATAAAAGAATGGTGATTATGGAGTCGTCTCGAATCGTTGAATTGCGCCAAGAATTTTTGCACAAGTTAAAATCTATAGAGAGCAGAAAAGAAATCTGATTTACCTGGATGAAACGTGGTATGATACCCATGATGTTGTGCAGTACGGCTGGGTTGACGACAGCAACAAGTGCATTTTAAATGCACCATGCAACCGTGGAAAACGAATCATTATTCTCCATGCTGGCAGTGAAAATGGATTTATACCTAATGCCTTGCTGTTATCTGCTAAAAATATCAAAGTATCATGTGCCGACTATCATGAGGACATGATCTCCGACTTATTTGAAAAGTGGATAGAGCAGCAGTTAATACCAAACATTTCCCCAAAATCAGTGATTATTATGGACAATGCGCCATACCATTCCCGACAGAAAAACAAAATTCCGAATACAGGCACAAAAAAACAAGACATTATTGATTTTATGAAGGATAAGGGAATGGAAATACCACAAAAATCAACCAAAGCCATATTATTGGATCTTATTAAAAGACAAAAATTTGAAAAAGAGTATGTTGTTGACAATCTGCTTCAGCAAAATGGCCATGAAGTATTACGTCTACCTCCCTATTACTGCATTTTTAACCCGAATGAGTTGGTCTGGGCTGCTTTAAAAAAAAAAGTAAGAAAACATAATCAGACCCCTCAATTAAGTGAATCGCTATTGGCCACAATAAGAGATGCAGTATCTCATATTGCTGCCACAGACCTATGGAAGCAGTGTTCTAGGCATATTATTGAAAAAGAAAATGAATATTGTGTTTTGCCTCCTGTAAATCCCGTTGTAATTCCTCTACAAGATGACTCTAGCGACAGCTCCGAAGGCGAGGAATTGTAAAAATCGGGATCGACGGGATTCGTAATTAAAAAGAGTCATGGAAGTATCGGTTCCGAGACCAGAATCGAATCATTAAAAGGAACGATTTGACACATCTATACAGGCTTAACCATTTTTTTGTCACGTTGGCGGTCATCCATGGTCAAAATGACGATTTAACAAAGCAGACTAGTGAAAAAAAGATGCAATAGTTAAAAAAACTTACCTTTTTGGCATTTTCTTGATTATTGTTATCTGTGTGAGGTGCTGAGGGTGCCATGACTGATACTGTTGATTGTGAGAGCAATTCGTCGCTACCTCTCTGAAAAAAAAAAAGAAAAACATCAATGCCAATTCTGAAATGTTGTAATTAATCATCACATCATAATTAAGGACGTTAGCGAATTATGACAGCACAAAACGCCATCTGTTACCAGAACCAACAACATCGAGAGTGAACAGCGGGTATCCATCTCAATCCCAGTTCCTAGTTAAAAGTATGACCGCTTAGTGTCATCGATTCTGGAGATATATTAGATGATGGTACGCTTGTAATCGCGTTTCATGCCTATTGGCAATCATCAGCACGGTTTGCACTTTATTTGTTGGATGGTCGAAAGCAATATTGTTACAAGAACATCGTATCAACGTTTCGGCTGCCACTGCAGTAGGCAGAAACGTCGTGTACAGGGTGGATCATAATAAAATCAACTTTTGTTCATACTTTGTATCATAAAAATTAATAGTCTTAATTTCTAATTTTATAATGGGCTACCTTGTATATAACAACTTACGAAACGGTGTTTTCAGACACTTTTCCTATTATCCCAATAACATGAGGTGCTGCGATGGGTAACTGCTACGAAAATCGGAACGATTCGTATATATCCCCTAACCTTCCCATCCAAAAGAAAAAGGAAATATCGCTTTTATTACCATACGTGCGTAAGATATAGCCAGGGGATCCACTTTATTCAAACGTTCACGATTCCGCCGTCTTCCTCGTTGAATAGATTCGCAAACATCTTGTCGCTCTGATCTGATATGTTTATGTATGCTTATTGGCTCAAAGAGAGCACATATCATGTTCCTATGAATTCCGAATACGAGCTCTTATCTGAAGTATCGTTTCTTTTCCGCTTTTGTTTCAAGGAATGTGTGTTTCTTTTTTCAAGTGGGAAACGGATATTTTCTACAAGGAGCCCCCGTTTTAACATCCCACCTAAATATTTCGAAAATGGCGCATCCTGGGAAAAATCTTCAAACAAAAGTCGTATGGTTGAAAATAATAATAATAATAATAATAATAAAATGTCTTTATTAGGCACATTATATACACTACAACATAATGTGACCTCTACGTAGGCGAAGTCTAGCTCTTGGCTACTCTACTTAACCTACACAAATACTAAATTGAAACACTCAATCAAAGGAAACTTTGACAAGCAAAAGACGCTTCAAAACAACGAGCTTGATAGCTTCCTAGCATACGTATATACACACATATATTACGTAAAAATAAAATAAAATGTAAGAATTAAAAACTAACTTTTCCACAATTACTACAATGACAAATAAATCTGTTTCACATGCTTACGAAATCTGTTTACTGGCCAATCCTTTATATTGTCATCTAATTCGTTATAAATCAGGATAGCATTGTAAGTGTATGAACTACGAAATAAAGTTGTTTTATACATAGGGATCTCTAGTCTTTTTTTGTGTCTGAAATCAATGTCTGAATTATTTCGTCTGAAAACAAATTTCTCATAAAGATACAAGGGGGATCTAGAAGATATGATCTTATGTGTAAACACTGCTATATGGTACTTGCAAGCATTTTCTATACACATCCAACCAAAATCACCCTTGGTGACACTCACAAAGCTTAAAAAGTGCTGTAGCAGACGATTGATAGAGCAGATTGTTTTTAATGACCTTGTAAATAGCCTTGAAGGTCACAGCGGTGGTCATAGGCAAGGTAATAGTCCCGTTTTAATCTTCCATCTAAACATTTCTAAAATTGCATTCTAGAAGAACGCTTCAAACAAAAGTCGTGAGATGATGTTGTCCTTGAAAATGACCTTGAATACGACATTTAAGGTTATCGCAAGGTCAAGCCAATTTTTACCGGAATTGGATGAAGGAGGAGGTTCTGCGTTAGAATATGACTTCGACTATGACCATAAGGCTACGTTAAGCTTAAGCAAAGATACTGAAAACAGTTTGCTCTAGCAAAAACGTTCGACAGCACAGTTGCGAGATTAAAAGTGACCTAAAACGTCAAGTCAAAATTTTCAAATGAACCCCGAAATTGAGAAAATCAGCAACACTTGTTTACATGTGACCTTGACCTCTACGATAAGTATGTCATTCTGAGGTATTATTTGCCAAGATTGTCGAGAACAAGAAATTTTATATTTAAACGTCTAAACTCTTGACATGACCTTAAAGGTGGTGGTCAAGGTCACGGTGAAAATCACCCTTGGTGACACTCACAAAGCTCAAAAAGTGCTGTAGAAGACGATTGATAGAGCAGATTATTGTTAATGACCTTGTAAATAGCCTTGAAGGTCATAGGCAAGGTAATAGTCCCGTTTTAATCTTCTATCTAAACATTTCTAAAATTGCGCATTGTAGAAGAACGTTTCAAACAAAAGTCGTACGGTTCCGAGGGGACAAAATGTTGTTGACCTTGAAAATGACTTTGAATACGATATTTAAGGTTATCGCAAGGTCAAGCAAGTATCTCAAAATGGACCTCCCCTTTTTTTACCTGAATTGGATGGAGGTGAAGATTCTGCGTCAGAATATGACCATGAGCATAAGGCAATTTTAAGATCAAGCAAAGATACTGAAAATAGTTTACTCTAGCAAAAATGTTCGACATCACAGCTGTGAGGTTTGTGGAGGTCAAAAGTGACCTTCAATTTCAAGTCAGAGTTTTCAAAATAACCCCGAAATTGAAAAAAGCAGGGACACTTGTTTGAATGTGACCTTGGCCTCTACGTTAAGTTTACGTCAGTCTGAAGTGTTATTTGTAAGGAACCCCTGGATTTTCACTCTACGATTGTAGAGAACAAGAAATTTTATACTCAAACGTGTAAGTTTTTGACATGATCTTGAAGGTGGTGGTCAAGGTCATGGTCAAAATTACCCTTGGTGACATTCACAAAGCTCAAAAAGTGCTGACGAAGACGATTCATGAAACAGATCGTTTTCAAAGCTCTGATTTCACATCTTGTAATGGCCTTGAAGATCACACTGATGGTCATAACCAAGGCATACCTGGACGTAAAATTTCTTCCTTACCAATCCCGGCATAAAAAGAGTGGTTCCATTTGGAAATACTCGCTTGACCTTGGAATGACCTTGAAGGTCGCAGAAAAGTTCATAGTCAAGATCATCAATTTGCTTTCCCAAAACCCTAATGTTTTTGTTTAATTTTTTCTCTATGATGCGAGGTTTTCAAAGCATTTACGCGGGGACAAACAACTTATGAAACAAATGTATTTATACAACGAACTACAAGTTACAGTGACAACGTCATGTGTCATGTCGAGCTTTCAGAAAAGTTTTTTTTCTTCATTAAGACGTACCACACAGAATATTTTAACACAATTAATATCCTTTATATGATTAAAAAAAAATCTCTTTTGAAGCATAAAATCAAAAAATTTGGAAAGACCATTTTGCATTTGTTAAGGTCTATGTTAGAATATTGTTCTTTAGTTGCAGTTTCAAAGCAGACGCATTATTTGTATTCAAACCAATACAAAGTGTATTTAAAAGTTGAGTCTATCCTAAAAGTAACACCAGTGATCAGCTTTTATGTAGGAAGTTCAACATGAAATGCTTGGGTTTGATCAGAATCATGAGTTCAGTATCAACTTTCCAAACTCCTCCATGGTTTCATAGATTGTTCACATATACTATTTCAAATTGATTTCAGTATTCGTCCAGTTACTTTGCGCTCATCTGCTTGGATGGATTTCCAACTTAGAAATCAATTCGTCGTTTCATATCGCTGCTAAAAATGTCAATTCTGTCTCTAATAACAATGTTACTTTTAGTGCAGTTTTATCCTCTCTTTTTGGTATCTTCTTCTTTCATGTGTTTATTTTTTCTTATGTTCTTAGCGTTCACTTGTTGAAAACAACAAACTTTCTTTTCTTCGGTTATTCACTTTTGCTTTAGTATATGCTTGTCCTGTAATTAAAACTATGTTCTGTTAGGCAACAAACACTTTGTTTCGTTTGTCACTGTCATTGTGTCTTCGCTCGATTCACACGAAACAAAGTCCCTTTGAAGTGCCACTGTATTTCAAACAATGAGAGCGATGAAACAGTAATAATAATAAGAGCATTCCATTCTGCTGAAGGAAACGTACGCTATAATGTATCCTTTTGCTACTCTAAGTACATACCGTCACGCAATTCGCCAATAGCGTCATCGTAAAACGGAGCCATACCAGTGGTGAGCAACACTCCATAAAACGCGGTAAATCAACCATGCAGGACTAAACCTCCAAGAGGGTTGTAAACAGGCATTATAGAACGGTAGAATGCAGCGGACGAGATGAGGAAAATCGAGGAAAAATGTCTGTCCATCATTGATTAAGCATTATTTATCAGGAACCCCTAGATTTTTATGCCAAGATTGTAGAGAACAAGAAATTTTATAATTAAACGTGTAAACGTTTGACATGACCTTAAAGGTGGTGGTCAAGGTCACGGTGAAAATCACCTTTGGTGACACTCACAAAGCTCAAAAAGTGCTGTAGAAGGCGATTGATAGAACAGATTATTTTTAATGACTTTGTAAATAGCGTTTCAATCTTCCATCTAAACATTTATAAAATTGCGCATGCTAGAAGATCGTTTCAAACAAAAGTCGTAGGGTTTCGACGGGAAAAAATGATGTTGTTCTTGAAAGGACATTTAAGGTTATCGCAAGGTCAATCAAGTATCTTAAAATGAAACTCCCCTTTTTTTCCGGAATTGGATTGAGGTGACGATTCTGCATCAGAATATGACCATGACCATAAGGCAATTTTAAGATTAAGCAAAGATAATAGGTAATTCTAGCAAAAAAGTTCGACTGCGCAGCTGTGAGGTTTGTGGAGGTCAAAAGTGACCTTCAATTTCAAGTCCGAGTTTTCAAAAGAACCCCGAAATTGAGAAAAGCAGGAACACTTGTTTGAATGTGACCTTGGCCTCTACGTTAAGTTTACGTCAGTCTGAAGTGTTATTTGTAAGGAACCCCTGGATTTTCACGCTACGATTGTAGAGAACAAGAAATTTTATATTCAAACGTGTAAGTTTTTGACATTATCTTAAAGGTGGTGGTCAAGGTCATGGTCAAAATTACCCCTGGTGACACTCATAAAGCTCAAAAAGTGCTGAGGAAAATCGAGGAAAAATGTTTGTCCATCATTGGTTAAGAGGATTCTCTTATTCACAACAAACTGATCAGAACATAAATTTCAATCTATTTATTTTACGGAACAAAATTTGGTAAGCAGCAAAGCTTTGAATTTACAGTCGATAAAGAAGGAGTTTAATACGGTCAAAGAATTTGTAATTATAAAGTATTATTGATTAGAATACAAATGGCGAATATGAATTAAGAAAAACTAATTCCTAAATCGAACTAAAAAATGAAGAACAAATAATAGTTTAAAAAAACTGAAAACTTGCTTTTATATTGTATTTGTATTTTTTTAACTACACTGGTCAACAAAATTTTAACTTTGTCGTGCCTCACGGACTTTTTTGATATTTTTTACTTTAATTAGTGATTGTAAGAAAAAATAAACAGTAAAAAAAAATTTGCTAGACAAGGATTTTATTCTATTGAGTAATTTAAAATATTAAGAAAAAACACAGATCTCGTAAATCAAAAGTTATTTTTTTTATAAATGACTTAATAATCTAAGATTTTCTTGAATATTTAGCTTCTGGTTGGTTCCTTTTAATTGTCCAGCAGTAATCTGCTAACATATTTGGGCTCCATTTGCCCTGGTACCGCTTTTCCATATTAGAAATGTCCTGATGGAACCTCTCACCGTGCTCGTCGCTGACATCCCCTAAATTGTCAGGAAAAAATCCAGGTGCGAGTCTAAAAAATGGATCTTAAGTGACATGTTGCAACTCAATGCTTGATATGACAATAATAGCTCGCTAACCAACTCTCTGTAGCTGTCACTCTTGTGGTTACCCAAAAAATTTGCAACAACATTTTTAAAAGCCTTCCATGCAGATGTTTCTAAATCGCTTAATTTTTCTTCAAATCTTGAATCTTTTATTAACTCCCTAATTTGAGGGCCAACAAAAATACCCTCTTTTATCTTTGCATCACTTATTTTAGGGAATTTTTCTTTTAGATACAAAAATCCACTCCCATTGCGATCCATTGCCTTCACAAAATTTTTTATTAATCCTAATTTGATATGCAATGGTGGTAGAAGCACATTATTTGGCTGTACGAGAGGTAAATACTTTACGTTTTTTTGCCCATGAACTAACGATGCACGCGTAGGCCATGTTTTTTTTATATAGTGATTAGTTCTGTCTCGGCTACCCCATTCACATAAAAAGCAGCAAAACTTTGTATAACCCAGCTGAAGTCCAAGTAATAGTGCAACAAATTTAAGATCACCGCAGATTTTGAAGGAATATGTACTGAAATTTATTTTTTCAAGTAAAAGTCTCATATTTTCATAGGTTTCTTTCATATTTGCAGCATGGGCCAGAGGTACAGACGGAAGCTGATTTCCATTATGCAATAACACTGCTTTTAGACTTGCTTTCGAAGAATCAATGAATAAACGCCACTGAGAGAGATCAAAATCTATGTCCAACATTTTCATAATCTCATTTATGTTATCGCAAAACACCAAATCTCCATCCTGAGAAAAATACGTTCTGAAGTGTTGATCACGGTTTCGAAAATAGCTAACTTTTGTATTATGATGTAGCAAATTCCATTCTTTTAGACGTGATCCTAATAGTTCTGACTGCTTTTTTGACAAATTTAAATCCCGAACCAAATCATTTAGGTCTCCTTGAGTTATCAAATGTGGCTCCTTTACAATTCCTTTTAACTCAAAGTCATCGTCCTCGTCAACACATTCACCTGGAGTGGACGGTTGTGAATTGTTCTCAACAGACGTAGTTGCAACTGGTATTAGTTCTGGCAATTTTTTACAATGAGAGAATGGTCTTATAGCCGAAGATAAGTTAGGGTAAATAACTGTGGTTTTTTTCTTGTAATTTATACCTTTTATGTCTGCGAGACAAAAATAGCAATCTGAAACGTGATCTCGCTGTTCAGTCCATATAATGGGTGCAGCAAACGGCATAGATCGTGCACCTTTCTTCCAGTCAGTTAAATTTTTCACACACGTTATGCAACAGACATGATGGGCCCAGGATTTGTCTTGATGGGCGACAGAAAAACCAAAACATTGGTGATAACACTCCAACACAAGATTCGTAAAATTTCGTCGTTGTTTTTTGAATGTTAGTCCTCCGCAGACATAACAAAAAGAGTTAGGATCATTATTACACTTCCTCGACATATTCACAGGGTTAATAAATCACAAAAAAGTGTTCAAATTCAACAACGTAGTACTAGTTATGAGTATTACCGTATCACAACAAATATGAGGCTAATAGACATATGACAGCTGTCATGTAATAATGAGGGTAGACTGATAAAACAAAATTAGCTGTCAAAGCTCGTGTGGCAAAACCAGTATTGACCAGTGCTATTATTTATTGTACATAATTGGATCTAGGCTGTCGGCCCATTAGCCTGAAATAGAGTATATAAACATACTTCACTTAAAATATTTTCTAAACCCGAATGCCAAAATTTTTAACGAATTTTACTAGTTTGTCCAGGATGTCTGGTTTTTGAATAAATAGCACATACCCTATATTGGGAGGGACAGGTAAATCGTAGGGCATAATATCCATGCAAACTGGTCTTAATTGCCAGACACAGTAACGATGTAGTTATCGTTCTTGGCGGTAAGGAAGTCAACACTATATGAAATAAGTAAACAGATCGAGTCTCCGTACCTGGGGCGGATCTTAATTTTCCAGTACGCATGAAGTGGGTAACAGGGGACCGCTGGATTCGTTTTCTTCCTGGAAATACTCTAATAAATTTAGCACGAGCTGTCCATTAATCGTATTTCCGGGCATTGTACAATTTTATATCGAAGATTGACAACAGGACAACTCAAATTGCATGCCGATGTCAATTAAGTTGTCACTCTGACAAATATGATTGAAGGGCACTCGTAACAAAAAAGTTTTCGAGACGGAGACACACAACTAAAAAACGTATGTCTTTGAGCTTACCGAACAAACGTTTTTCCTGGTAAAACATTTCAAAACATACAAAATACGATTGTACTAGCGACAGAGAAGAACTATATTCAGCCGAAGTGATAATCACATAACCGGCTGCGAAATATCGTAAAACTCCGTTTTTCCGCTTAGAATGTGAGAGTTTGCTTATGGAAAACACGCGTCGATCTGCCTGTCTGTCGTTCATAGCGTTCGAGTACAAAGGCACTTTCCTCTCCACTCACCTTCCGTTCGCTCCCTTTTTTAGTGTTATGGAGCTGCTCTCATTCTTCCCGCCTCTATTTAATGCGCGCTTTTGTCGGTCCATCCGACGTTCTCTATGCGCCGCGCTGTTATGTCGCCATTATGACGCCGAAGCGTTTGCAACAACTGCCATCAAAACGTTTTATCACAGATTAACGTATTTTCCAAGAAATTGCCCAACCATAATATTTTGTATTTCGACTTATAGTTTCTATCGTCACAGCCATGTAATTCTCTGATAAGTAGCTAGCTTTTACCCGTGGAAAGTGTGGCTCCCAATGTTGCCGTTCTCTGTTAAAGTATCACAGTGGTCCGCAGTCAGAGGAAGCACTAACCGTGGACGAATTGAAAAAAGTACAAAGGCTTGAATGAGGCGATAGAGTGTACGCATAGTAACAGGTCTACCTTCTTGACGCTCTGGGTTACGTCTCAGCGGACCAGTTGGCCTTCTTCGTGTTCCTCTATCTTCTTCTATCCACACACTACACACACGCCTTACCGTCACTGTAGTACAATTAACACGGCGGTCGATTTCGCGATAGGACAAACCAACATCTCGATAGGCAATAATTCTACTCCTGGTGATAATTTGGAAGTCTTCAAACTCGAGGAATTTTGTTCTGCTCAATTCTAGTAAACGGAAGAGCAATAACTAAAAATATCTGTACTACTCGGCCCTCAGAAACTGCTTTCTTCACAAAAACTAAGAGATAACATTTCAACAAAGGTAACCAAAAACAAAGATGCTTAAAATATAGTCATTATGATTCCAAAAAACATTATTTTTTCTGGATGTAACACTCCTAATGTCACAGAGTATAATTGGTCG